CACTAAGAAATGAAATCACACAAAAAACGCAACGTAACCGCAACACAACCGCAATGAAATCGCAACACAGCCGCATCGGATCGCATTTGTTTTATTTCACGTTGCATCGGCCACAATCGCAGCGACCATAATAGCATCCACAATTCTAATGGAATTTGACCCCCTTCATTCTCTTCCACCTCATGTCGGACCATTACTGGCGGAAGGTCATTAAAGTTGGTATTATTCTGAGATAATCGATAGTTGAGATTATTATAAGCGGACCGCTAATAGTTGGGATTATTACAATCAATTTTTCCTAAAATAAATATGTATGTGTAAACATTATAAAAAGAATCTGATTATATTTGTAATTTGAGAACTAAAGACTATAAATTATTTTTAATAGAAAATTACAATATTTTTCATTCTTATATTATTATATGTGCACAAATGGACATTTGAACACATTAGATAATTCAAAGGAGATTTTGAATTTTTCAATGCTCATTCTATAAGCTACATATGTTCATCTGGTACTACTTTTATGTTCATTTTAAAATGTCAAATTAATGCATGTTTTAAAAGTATCATATTTGATTCACATAATTCACGTAAACGTTGATTATAGATACGAAGGCACATAAAATGATACCCAATTGCATGTTTCTAATATTAATAGATGAGGTTTGGTACTCAATGAAAATATCTTGATACTCATTTTGGTGATTAATGAGTTTTATAAAAGATAAAATAAGAAAAAGAAAGTGAATTACGGCAATATATGAAGTTGATATCATTATACTCATTATTCGACTCTTAATACTCAGTAGAATACATCTGGTGCTCATTAACAGTGTAATAATGCTCATCTAACGAAAATCGTGATTTTCAATGAAATTACGAAAATGTCACCGTTTTTTTAGTTGTGATATCAGCTTTCTTGTAATAACATGGTGCTCATTATTAGACTCCTAATACTCATTAAAATTGGATTATTGCTCATTAACAGTACACTAATGCTCAGATAGCAGAAACCACGATTTTCACATTATATTACAAAAATGTCACCGGCTGTACGTTGCTCACCGTACAGCCGGTTGTACGGTGGACGGACTCATTCTCCACCAAATACAATGATTCAGATTCCCGTGTGTCCTTGTTGGAATCCAACTAGATCACCTTTTTTCTCTAAGTAACAACTTCAACCATTGCCCTCAATTACACTGTGGTACCGGTATACCATTCGCATGGTATACCGGTACCCAATAGGATATCGTTTTTCTCTCCATCTAGGAGCATTACGGAGGTCTATAATTTGTGTTCCCTTTCCCTCGAGCCCTTCACTTTCTTTTCTCTCGAGCCCTCGCTCCACTACTCAAGGAGTCAAGGTATGTTATTTTCTCTTTATTTTTCGTTTTTAGTTTCTTCAATTATTTCCTCCTCTCTAATGAAATTCTAAAAATTTAATTGTAATTTTACTTATCTTTATTTTTAATTAATTTAATTATAACTAATCAATTAACTTTTTTTCTTTACAAATTTATTACCAAATTTTATTAATCCACATAAAATAAGTATATTACATTAATAATCATACACTATTTTTTTATACTTAGTCTTCAACTGAAATAACTACTGAATTTATCTTTTGTGAAATATTTCTTACATTTATACATTTTTTTTGTAAAATATTTTTCATATTCATACACTTTTTTCTATAATGTGTGTTTAGTGTTTTCTTTATCTCTTGTCTCTTTATCTCTTTGCAAAAAAAGATTTATTTCTTGTCTCTTTTATGTGTATTTAGTGTTTTCAAAACATTAAATTTGTATATTTCGATTTAAATTTGATAAAATATGAAATTACATTTTTCATATGGAGTTACATTTGATACTCTTTTTTGGAGATACATCTTCTTATGTGTGAGTTGTATCTTCTTGTGCATGAGTTACATCATTCTATGCGCTAGTTACATTTGAGCTTGCCTCAATAATAAGTTAGATTTTGCATACACCTAAGTTAGATTTTTCATCAATGCGAGTTAAATTTTTCCTAACATGAGTTATTTCACAAAATAAATCTCTGCTATTGAAACAAAAATGAATCAATATTTTGTAAATAAAAATGTTTTTTTTGGGAAAATGATTTTTTGGCAAAAAAAATTGTTTTGTTTGAAAAAAAAAAAATCTTTAAACCATTTGTATGGCCTTAATACTAAAAACAAAACATATTACTATTCATGTAAATTAATTGAGTAACTAGACTCGATCCTTGTTTTCATTATTTACCTTTGATAGTATATGGAGTTCCATCTTCTTATGTCCGAGTTACATTTTTTTATACGTGTGTTACATCTTTCTATGCGCTAGTTACATTTGAGTTTGCCTCAACAAGTTACATTTTGCATACACCTAAGTTAGATTTTTCATCAACGTGAGTTACATTTTTCATAACACGGACTACATCACAACATAAAGCCTACTATTGAAACAAAAGAATCATTGATTTGCAAAAAAAATTAAATTTTTCCAAAAAAATGATTTTTTTTTGCAAAACAGTGATTAAAAAAAACATTTTTACAGCCTTAATATTAAAAACAAAATATATTCACTATGTAACTTAACCCCTTCTATTGAAACTAAAAATCACTTTTTTGCAAAAACAAAATGATTTTTTGGGAAAACAAATGATGTTTTGGCAAAAAAAAAACATTGTTTAGCCTTAATATTAAAAACAAAACATATTAACTATTTATGTAAAGTACTTGAGAAATTAGACTCCTTGTTTTTATTAAAATCAAAGTGTAATTTCTTATAATCCGTATTAGACAAGTTATATTTCGATTTGCCTGCAGTTACATTTTTTATCAGCGTGAGTTACATTTCTTTACACGTGAGTTACATCATTCTGCTATTGTGACAATGAAATAAATAAAAAAGAAGTTATTGTTCACGCGCGTGAACAGTACGTAACACGCCTTTTTTTTGTGTGGGGACAACATGTTCATCGTGAGCTGCTCCCGGTATATCAACTGTCGCCATAGTAGTAGATAATGTTTTCTCTCTACTAGTTGTATTTGTATTGTTGCTATCTAAATTGTTGGATATTCTTGTTTTTGTGATCTTTATTGCAGTCGAGTACTCTGACCATAAAACAATTTCACAAAATTATTCTAGTCGTTGTGATTCTTCGCGGATAAAAGCACTAATGAATTCCCTGCATCGGTGATTCTAGGTTGCATTTTTTGTTGTTTGAGTTAGTTTTGCTCGTGTAGCTCATTTTTATTTATTTCCGATATCATTTTGCAAGGCGGACGATGACAAATCTCAAAGTGTTAGGGGTGCATTGAACTTTTGTAATGTCATCGGTAGTGTTAGCATGGGGTCTAGTCTATACTTTTGGTAATAATGTGTCAACTTTTGTGTCTGGTCTTCTTAAAAACCACTTTTGTTAGTTTACTATAGCTATGGTGCATCGATATTTACCCCAATCCTGTATCTGTGTATCATATATATAACCGGTATCTACCTCGCTGATACACATCATGTACGAATTGGGTCTGTATCGTAATCTAATAAAAGTATTGGGCTTACTTTTAAACATATAAATACTTCCGATACACATATTCATGAATCAATACTCGCATTTAACCCTGAATCTGTGGACCTAGTGAAAAACGAGTGGTCGCCTAGTCGGCCACAACTCTCTACTCCTTAATCATTAATCTTCATTCTTGAATTATATCTCTTACCGAATAAAGTAGTATCATATCTTCTTTTTCTCTTGTACATTTAATAAGTTTCAATTTACTTCCCCTTTAAATCAATTGCATTTGATGCGTAAATGAGAAACATAAGATGCGCAACATTGATAAATATGATTCTGGGAGTATGGAAGATACAGAGTATTACAATACTTGAATTTTCCAATTTGTCGCTTGATAATTGAATTAAAATTAGTCTTGTTAAAAGACTTAGATGTAAATGCAAATAACAAATCAAATGTTATTTGAATTTAAATAGAAATATCATTACTTTAATTAATTGTATTTTTAGCCCAATCTTTGAAATATTATTATGATTGTTAATTTTTTATACTATTAATATTTTATTTATGAACCTTTGGCTTATTAATATTTTCAAATCATACCCAATATTATTATTTATAAATATACCCCCATATCCGTATCTTATAATTTTTGAAGTTGCCGTATTGTCTTACCCATATTCGCGTTATCGATGTATCAGCGTATCCGTGCAACATAAGACTACACTTGTTTTCATGGTTAAGTAGGATGTCTTCAAAGTTTTAGGGTGAATTTGCATAGATCATTATTCTTATTTGTTGACATCAAGAATTAACTACTGTAAAGAATACATTTATTTTAGATTTTGATGATGGTATAAAAATAAGAATTTTAGAGTACCTTTTATGAATAAAGTGTACTTAGCATTTTCATTTGTAAAAGTGTAACGTTTAGTCTACTGCCATATTCGCGTGCAACTCTAACCGGAGAGAGACGTTTCCCTTTCTTAAGTGAGTCTGTCAGAACACCAAGGCTATGTTTGGCACAACGAGCTGGAACTGAAGGCTAATGTCTGAACTAGAGGCTATTATCTGAATGAGATACTCTAGTTTGGAGTTAGACTTTAAAATACCAAATCTGAATTGCTAGTTGAATGGGGTAAACTTGTTTGGCAAAAACAGCTGAAAAAGTGTTGGAATAATATGAAATTACATTAAAAGGTGCATATGATTTATTAATAGATTAAAATATTTAGTATAATGGTTTTTATCTTTCATCCTTTTAATATATGTATGCGTGTTCAAAGCAAATGGGCAAAGAATGATTGTTGGTCTTCATTAGATTACTTCCATTACATCCACCTCTTGTTACGCATGCAGAAACAAATTTTCAATTAGGGACAACTGAATTTTTACCTTATAGCAGCGAATCCAAATGAAAAATATTTGGGAGGAAGAGGTGATTATAGTAGGGAAGGAAATTGTTGACGATGAAGGTATGCAGAGAACTAAAAAATAGTAATATGCCAAACACGCAATATTATATTGAAGAAACTAACGCAAAACTTCAATTACATCTTCCGCATACGGTGCTCATATACTACACCGTATTTATAGACTTAACTAGTCATATTGGAATACAACTAGGACTGTCTAAATTAAAAACAAATAATCAAGTAACTTGGACTCCACTCCAAGATAGAATTCTGATTTAGAACCGTGACTAGAGTCCATGTCCTAATCAGATAATTCACAACAACTACCCCCTGAATTTCTGAGAAGGTAATTCTTGCACACCAAGTAGTTTTCTCATTTTTTTCACAAACCGTACTCGTGCTAAGGCCTTTGTTAAAGGATCTGCAACTTGTTCTTCTCCAGCCACGTGTTTAACTTCAACTTGCTCGTTTTCAACACGCTCATGAATGAAGTGAAATCAAGTGTGAATGTGCTTGCTCCTTCCGTGAAAGACTGGATTTTTTGACAATGCAATTGCTGATTTATTTTCAATAAAAATTAGCACCTTCTGTTTCTCCAGCCATGTCACTTCTGCCAGCAATTCCCTTAGCCCAACTGCTTGACAAGCTGCAGCCGTAGCTGCCATGAACTCGGCTTCGCACAAAGATAAAGCCATTGTATCTTGTTTTTGTGAACACCACGTGATAGGTGACATACCAAGGAAGAAAATGTGACCAGTAGTGCTTCGACCATCATCAATGTCAACATTATGACTACTATCACTATATCCGAGTAGTTTGAGTTCATTGTTTCGTTCATATTTTATCCCAACGGAAACTGTTCCACGGAGATATCGTAGGATTTGCTTGATAGCTCTTGCATGGGACTCTCTGGGACTTTGCATGTAGCGACTAACTACTCCAACAGAGTATGCAAAATCTGGTCGAGTAGGCAACCAACTACCCTTCGGTATTGCTTAGCTTCCACTTCTGGTTCTGTTTCGGCCTTTGAAAGCTTTAGTCCCGGATCCATTGGACACAAGGTTGTATTACACTCCTCCATACCAGCTTCTTTTAAGATTTTCAAGGTATAATTTTGTTGCTGAACCTTCACACATGTCTCTTCTTGCGAAACTTCTATGCCCAAATAGTAAGTTAGTTCACCCAGATCTGACATTTCGAACTGAGATGCCATCATTCTTTTGAACTGTTCCATGAACGCTAAGCTAGTTCCTGTTAGGAATAAGTCATCCACAAACATCTAAGAAAGCCTAATCACTTTAAGATGTTGTTGAGCTTTAAATTCCAAGCCATCGGAGCTTGTCTAAGGCCATATAAAGCTTTCAACAATCTATAAACCTTTGTTCCCTCTCCCGGTTTCTCAAAGCCCTCAGGTTGACTGACGTATACTTCTTCCTGCAGTTCACCATGCAAAAAAGCTGTTTTAACATCTAAGTGGTATATCTTCCATCCTCTCCCGGCTGCGAGAGCAATCAAGAATCATATTGTCTCGAGTCGAGCTACTGGTACGAACACTTCATCAAAATCAATACCAGGTTCTTGTACATAGCCTTTTGCAACTAGCCGCGCTTTGTACCTTGATATTGATCCATCAACATTTCTTTTAATTTTAAATATCCACTTCAACCCTATAGGTTTAACATCTTTCGGTGGGGGAACAAGTTTCCATGTTTTATTCTTCTCTACTGCATCAATCTCGGTTTTCATTGCACTGAGCCATTCTGGTTTCACTCTTGCTTCATTGAAGTTTCTCGGTTCCTCATCAAATGCTAACAGCAGCTCATTAAAATTCAGCTCATAGTCATTAAATCTTGCTGGTAACACCGAAGTACGAGATGATCGTCGCGTAGGTGCAATATTGCTGATTGGTTCAAATTCAACTCGAGGTGGACTTGTTTCAAGATTTGAGTTGATGTCTGACCGTGGTGAGCTGCTTCCAGGATTGCTGATAGTTTTTCCATTTGAGCCATTGATGTGGGCTTGTATTGCAGGCTGCTCAAGACTCGCATCTGTTTGACTCGGTTGAGTTTCACCCCATAGGACTGTGAAAGTACCTGATTCTTTTCTTATTTGGTTTTCGTTATCAGTCAGGTTACTCCACTCCCATGCTCTGTTCTCGTCACAAATTGCATAGGAGCTGATAATGATCTTATTTTCATGAGGATTATAGAGACGAAATCCTCCTGAACCGGGTTCCTTGCCAAAGTATACCAGTGGTTTTGACTTGTCATCTAGTTTCTTCAAGTGCTTTGAAACTATTTTATCATAGGCAATACAACCAAATACTTTTAAATCTTCAAGGTTCGGCTTTTCACAGTAGAGTTTTTCGTATGGAGTGGTTCCTACTAATGCTCGTGTAGGGGTCCGATTTATGATAAAGGTTGCATGTCTAACTGCCTCGTCCCAAAAACGGTTTGGTACTCCTTTTGCTTTCATGAGACACCTTGTCATCTCAATTAAGGTGCGGTTTCTTCGTTCTGCGATGCCGTTCTGTTGAGGAGCATAGGGAGCTGTTAACATTCTTGCAATCCCTTCTTCTTCCCAAAAACGGTTAGAGTCTCTTGAAGTAAACTCGCCGCCTCTATCAGTGTGAAAAGATTTAATCTCTTTGCCGGTTCGTTTTTCAATTGACCTTTTGAAGCTTTTAATAACATCTGATGCATCACTTTTATGTTTTAAAAGAAACGACCACATGTACCTGGAGAAGTCATCAATCAGCACCAATATATAAACATTGCCTGCTTATGTTGGGGGGTCTATCGGGCCACATATGTCCCCGTGTATCATCTCAAGAGCATCTTTTGACATGTATGATGGCTTTTTCGGGAAGCTTTGTCTTGTTTGCTTACCAATCATGCATACCTCGCACAGTTGATCTTGATGTGAAATAGTAGGGACTCCTTTTGCTAGCTTGTGCATTAAATTTATTGCACTGAAGTTTATATGGCCTAAACGAGCGTGCCATAACCAGGATTCTTCAGTTATGCTAGCCTGCAAGCAGTAGGGTTTTCCTACTTTCAGTTGGGTCTTGTACAGACTATTTGCACTTCTCCGAACCTTCATAAGTAACCTTCCACTTCTGTCTCGCATGGTCAAGTAATCTCCTCGCATATGGATGTCGCATCCAGATATTGTGGCTTGTCCGAGACTGATCACGTTACTTTGAAGGGACGGAATATAGTAAATATTTTTCAATAACTTTTGTTCTCCACTTTTTCCTTGGAATAAGATTGATCCTTTTCCTTCTTGATGGAGTATATGGGTTAGATATATACTCTATCACTTCTATGCTAACACAAGATCCATCCCCAAATCTGACCCTCCCAGTTATTCGTTTATTTAGCTCAGAGAAGTATGAGTAATTCCCAGTCATGTGATTACTCGCGCCATTGTCCAGGTACCACACACCATCTTCATAAGGTTTTGGGTCATGTTTGGGTGGGATGTATTTTTCTTCATTAAGAAATACAGTTTCGATGTTCATCATAAAGAAAGTCCCCTCCTCATGATTCACACCTGCTTCTTGTGCTTCATTCAAATTTGACTCCTGATTTCTGGGTCGTTCTGGACATTTTGAGACAAAGTGTCTGTACTTATCACAACGATAGCACTGGATGTTTGACAGGTCACGTTGTTCATGTTGCTTCCCTTTTTGTCGCTGGTCTTCTCGGTTTTTCGATGAATCCTTTTGATCGTGGTTTTGGGTATTACCTCGACCCTGACCTCGACCACGACCACCTCGGCTAGAGCCACGACCTCTCCCCCTGTTTGAGTCTTGATTTCTGTTGGAAGACTCAGCCTTTGCATAGAGCAGTTTATCTTGTGATTCATTCGCATCGTCTTCTTCTTTTATGCGTTCTTCATATGCTTTTAGTCTTCCTACCACATCTTCAAACCCAATTGTTTTGAGATCCAGAACTTGCTCAAGAGCTGCTACTATATGAACAAATCTCCTAGGAAGGCTTGTGAGAAATTTCTTAACTAGCTTCTGTTTTGAGATTTCTCCTCCAAGTGTGGTTGAAGTAGAAGCAATACCAGATAGCTTTGCAGCAAATTCATCTATCGTAACTGTATCCTTCATCTTCAAATTTTCGAATTCCGTAGTTAGGGTTTGAAGTCGTGCTTCCTTCACACGGTCAGCCCCTAAATTTCGCGTCTGAATTGCGTTCCACATCTCCTTCCCAGTTTTGAGATTGCCGATTTGAAGAATCAACTCTTCGGGTATCGACTGATAGAGCAAACCCTTGACAATGTTGTTTTTCTTGGAATCATCTGAACCTGGATATATCACTTCCGAGACTCCATGAATTCCGAGTAGAACTTCCATCCGCATTCTCCAGATGGTCTAGTTTGTCGTTGTCAACAGGGGGAATTGAAATGACAAGGTGTGTGGCTCCTTCGCCGGTGACTGTGGTGATTCTCCCATCATCGCTGCTGAAGTTGAAACACAGTTGGTGCTTGACTCTATCGTAGGCGCTGGTCAACACCGAAAGTAAGTTTGCCGGCTTCTGGAATACACAAGCTCTGATACCAATTGAAGGTATGCAGAGAACTAAAAAATAGTAATATGCCAAACATGCAATATTATATTGAAGAAACTAACGCAAAACTTGAATTACATCTTCCGCATACGGTGCTCATATACTACACCGTATTTATAGACTTAACTAGTCATATTGGAATACAACTAGGACTGTCTAAATTAAAAACAAATAATCAAGTAACTTGGACTCCACTCCAATAAAGAATTCTGATTTAGAACGGTGACTAGAGTCCATGTCCTAATCAGATAATTCACAACAGACGATGCCCTCTTTGCCTCCAAAGAATCTCATATATATGTGTTGCCAGCACGGGGTACTTCGGGGATTGGAAGATATTATATAATCCGCTTGATAGAAACGCTAGGCTTAGAAACGTTTTGATTCAGCCTGGTTTTTTCACTTTCAGCCTGGTTTAGACTTGCTTCCAAACAGGACTACTTAAATCATATAATCATTAGCTGAAATTAAGAAATTACAGCCCATAGTTGGCTAAAATGCATCGCCGGACACAACCTTAAATGTCATGAAATTCTTGAATAAATAGAAGGCTTGTGGTCAACTCGTCTACTTATTCAAAAGCACCTTTATCATGTGCAAATTTACAACGTGAGCTAGGATAAGAAGTTGTTCTCTTTACCTGATCTAAATGTTTCTGCTCTGAATTTATTAAGTTCTGATTTGATCTGATATGAATTTTTCTGAAACTTTGTGATCTGATCTGAAACTTTCTGATCTGATTTGAATCTTTCTGATCTGATCTGAATCTTTCTGATCTGTTCTGAATCCTTCTGATTTGATCTGAATCTTTCTAATTTGATATGATTTGAATATTTCTATAATTATAATAATTATAATTATAATTATAAAAAGTATAATTATATTTATAATAATAATTGTAATTAAAATTCAAATTATAATAAATATACCTATTACACTAATTATAATTACAGCTATAATTATAATTGTAATAATAATAGTAATAATAATAATACGGATTAATAATAATAATAATAATAATAATAGTAGTAGTAGTAGTAATAGTTGTAATAATAGTAATAATTGAAGAAATAATAATAATAATAATAATAGTAATAATAATAATAATAGAAGAAATAATAATAATAATAATAATAATAATAATAGAAATAATAATAATAATAATGATGATGATGATGATGATGATGATGATGATAATGATAATAATGATAATAATGATAATAATGATAATAATGATAATAATGATAATAATGATGATAATAATAATAATAATAATGATAATAATAATAATAATAATAATAATAATGATAATAATGATGATAATAATAACAATTATTATCAATTAGATCTTGATAAGCCTCAACCATGAGCACACAAACTATAAGATTGGTCTGCTCCAATGAGCCACCATCTTGCGGGGGCGTATTAAGCTGTCCCACACTGATTGCGTATAGAAATACAAACCAACATATAAAGTCTTGGGTTACTCCTCCTAACAGGTTGACGTTTTAAGATGGAACCATATGTCTTAATTGTTGGTGCATTTTCTACAGAAAAGAGAAGGATCTCATAGTAAATAAAGTCTTTCTGCTTGTTTTGATACTATAGACATTGTAAATTAACGATATAAGGGCAGAAAATGACGTACCTAGCTAGCACATAAATTTAATTTGAATAATCAAAATCATTTTGTAATTAAATTTTGCATAATAGTGTCATTTGATCAACCAATTATATTGAAATACTATCTATCTCATCAAATTACTTTTAAGTATTAATTATCTTGTTTAGTTTTGCATGCTTATTAATAAAGTAATAAAAAACTAAATGATGTGGTTGATATTTGAGTGTAAAAAGTGGAATAGTATGAATTACTAGTTTTTATTAAAGTTAGAAACATGACAATTATTTTGAGTGGAATAGTATGAATTACTAGTTTTTATTAAATGATGATTTTTTCCTTTTCAAATCTGCACTTTTCCTTCTTCTCGCGTGTTCAATCGTTGTTAACCAAACATAGTAATGGAATATTGATTTTATTGCATTACATTACACTTTTTATTGCATTACATACCATATTCCATTGCATTGCATTACAACATACCAAACATAGCCTAACTGCGTTTTTATACGCATGCATTTTGGTGGATGACATTAATTATATTGTTTTTAATGTAGCTTTAAATCATTTAGGATAATGATTATTGAGAGATATTTTGGTATCTAGATTTACAAAACATTGTGACCTCACAACTTTGTTGTCAATCATGTTTAACATTGATCAATTATACTTGGTATATGTTTTTAGGAAATTATATATACAATATAAAAATAATATGGAAATGATATTTGTTAAAATTACTTTTAGAATAATCATTATCCAAATTTTACCACTGTTGACTCACTCACAACATCAAATATGAGAATTTGACAATTTCATAATATATGGAGGTACTATGTTATAGTCATCATCGAGTAAATTTCACAATTCTCTCTCTTTTTGTTAAAGAAGTATCTACCTTCTAAAAAATTTGGACTACATACAATATACTCCGGTATATTACTCCTATCTCTTCCTAAATATAAGTGCCAATAAAATTTTCACTCTAAATTAGGGTGAGGGACTATATGATTTACAAACTCAAAAAGGTTGGATTGGACTACTTGACCCTGTTGCACCCCGGCCTGATGTACAAAGAGTAACTTTGAAGATATGAATGCAAAAGAAAGAAAGAGAGATGGTACTTTCAAGATTTTGCACTAAACAATACGCCCCCCATCCCATAAAATTTTTCCAACTTTTCATTTTGGGATGTTCAAAAAATTCTTCCCACTTATCATTTTTGAAAAGTTTTGTGTGACTCACATTCATTTACCTTTTTCTTACATAACTACATCATACATTCCACTTTATTTTCACTTTGTTAATAGACCTGCCAAGTCAAAGTGTGAAGTATCTTTTGGAATCGAGGGAGTAATTGATAAGAAATTAGCTAGCTAGCAATCCCATGCAAGTTGATCATCATCAACATGATCTTCATTACAATACTCTCCTCCTCCACCACCACCACAAGGCATCAAAGTCGAATCCTCCATGAACTCATCAAAGTCGAAGCTATTAGTAGAGCCTTCAAAAGTGTTAATGATCTCCGTGTTCTGCACTACAGTGTTGTTATTGTCGATGAACAGGTGACAATGATCCGTACTGCTAACAACAACCTTGTACACTTCCTCCATCGCCGGTTCAGGTCGACGTTCTTGTTGCGTTTCCATTTCTGCGGCCCGTTGTGGTTCAAATGTATGAGTTCCACCAAACGTGGAACCATACCCGGACGGAGGAAATAAGGAAGTAGTAGTAGTAGTACTCTCCATGGAAGAGCAACTCCCGAAATCCATCATTGTAGGGTTTTGGCAGTCGAAAGAGTATGAATGGAAGAGATTATTATTAGTGGTGGCATCGAAAAGAGGGAAGGATGAAAGGGCAGCTTTCATTTCCATATTGATGTTGTGATGATTGTGAGGTGAAGTCTCTACTATGGTGAAAGTGGCCGCCGTGGAAGGGTGGTGGACGGCGGAGGCTTGATGGTGATGGGTGGTGGTTTTGGTGGTTGAATGGTGGTTGGGTTTTCTTTGATTCTTGGTGGGTTGGTTTGGAGAGAGGAGATTATGAGTGTTGGGGTCTAAGCCTTGAGCAAGAAGCTTCTTTTTTATGCAAGAATTCCAAAAGTTCTTGACTTCATTATCAGTCCTGCCAGGCAAGTGCTTGGCTATTTGAGCCCATCTATTACCAAGAATTCTATGAACATCTATTATCATCCTCTCTTCTTCATCTGTAAATGAGCCCCGCTTTAGATCTGGCCTCAAGTAATTTATCCACCGCAATCTGCAACTCTTTCCGCACCTTTGCAACCCTAAATATGGATGCATTCTTTCTTCAATTTATTACATACAATAATAACAACAATGAACACATAAAAACAAAAAAAATGATATATGAACTTTTAAGTGCACTTTCAAATGAACTTGGTGCAAAAAATTGCACTCAATTGCAATTGGTCCACCCATTTTTCATCCTTTTCTCATTAATTAATTTTATACCCTTAACTCCACAATCTGATGCATCAAATTTGTTCTATTTCTAAGTTTTTTATTTATTTAATCATACAAATGTGTTTTATTAATACTACGTCGTATATATCTAGTTATGGGTAAAAGTTAATTACATACTGCTTATTTCATAAATATGGCTTAAACATAACACATTTCTTCAAAGATAATTAGCAATCGCGTTTTTGGATGAAAATGGAGCTTATTTACTATGTAGTATTACAAAATTAAATTACATATTAAATAATGAGTTGAGTGTCCTGTCCTCACAAAAAATAAATGTCCTATTTATATATAGTACGTAGTAGTTATATTTGTCCTACAAAATATCATCGCTTTAGGTTTTTTAGCATCTGTGTATACGATTAGATAGTATTCATACCTATGATGCGACGAAATTCTTGAAAGATATTACCCAAAATAGGACTAAAAAAGTTTGAAAATTTCAAAATAGGATTGTCATGTTTTTATTCCCAAAATATGATTAATTACTGTCATGTTTTGGCAGTAACAGACTTCAAACATGGCAGTATTTTCTAAGCATGACAGTAATTAGTGCTATTTTGAGAATAAAAAATATGACAGTCCTATTTTGGAATTTTGAAACTGTTTTAATCGTATTTCTGAAACTTTCCCGATTCTTAAAGGGTGATGCGACGGAAACTTTTATGAAAACCTTAAGAACCGAGATTTGTAAGGAATTTTTCCATTAACTTGGTGCAAAAAAATTGCACTCAATTGCATTTTGGCCACCCACTTTTTTCATCATATTCACATTAATTTCAATATCCTCAAATCCAAAATCAAATCTAATCCATCATATGTATTCTATTTTTAAAACGGTTGATTGTTTTTAGGATGTTTTTACTTGGACTATAATTTGCTGGTCTGGTCTGGTCTGATCTGGTCTGGTCTGGTCTGAACTGGTCTGGTCTAGTATGGTCTGGTTTCTTTGTATTTTTATAACTATCCAAGTTTGGTCTGGTCTGGTCTGGTCTGAACTGATCTGGTCTGGTCTGATCTGGTCTGGTCTGGTCTGGGACGAATTACAGTCCAAGTAAAAACATCCTTATATTAGGGGAAAATAATTAAAATATCTCAAACTTTAAGGGGTGTGAGATTAACACCCCAAACTTGCATTTGTAATTTAAATACCCCAAACTTTATATAGAAAGTTATTTTAGCACCATAGCAACTATTATATCTTTCAAAAAATGTAAAACAATTTATGGTGTTAATTGCATAATTCAAAATATTTTAGAATTCATGGAGACATAATTAACATTTTAACCTTGCATTAGAAAAAAATAATGTTACCCCCAATCTATATATTTGCAACATTTTTAATTTTCTATTTTAAATTATGCAATTAACCCCATAAATTTACTTTTTTGAAAGAAATAATACATGACAATGGTGCAAAAATAACTTTTTATTTAAAGTTTAGGGTATTTAAATTACATATGTAAGTTTCGGGTATTTACCTCACACCCCTACAAAGTTTGGGGTATTTTTATTAATTTTCTCTTTTTATATTATTATTACCATAATGTATAAAATAATATACAATTGTTTTTTATAAAAATTTAAAAACCGAAATTCGAAAGAAATCTCTGTATTACAATTGTTTTTTCTATTATAAATGATTCTCTCGTGTTTCCCATTTCATATTTCCCCATGGTATATAGATCATAGATGCATAGTAATATACAAAAGCTAATTCTTGTTTTATACAAAATATATACATTTTTATACAGAGTATGTCTGCACAGACAGAGGCAGACAATTACTGATTTTTTTAAACGAATAGTCTATGTAACCGGACAATTAGGGGTGTGTACAAAAAATGAACAAATTTTGTAAACATAAGTAATTTTCCATTCACTAATTGCATATAATAATAGAAAACTAAACGAGTAAACGAACTTTAAATTATGAATCATAAACTTTCATGGTGAAGAAAAAGATAGATAGCCAAGATATAGGTGTAACAAACAACACATGCACAATCAAAGTTCAAAACCTATGGAAGTAGATGATGAGAGGACACACCTGCTAGTTTAGGGACAGAACTCCAACAGCCATAGCCATGAGAGGAGATGTGCTGGATAAGCTTCTCATCTTCTTCCGGAGACCAAAGCCCTCTCTTTACCTTTTGTTTGCTGCAGCAGTGATGACCCATACCCCCCACCGGCCGCTCTCACCGATGAGGAGCAGCCCTTAGCTTATATATTGCTGTCTTTCTCTCTAACTTATTTTAATCACACTTCTCCACTCAATCATATATTATATTCTTCTAATACAATACTCCTTCATATACTCATAGAGAGAGAGAGAGGAGTAGAGCTTTTGTTTTAACAAATGATGTAATTGTTATACGTGTGAGACATAGTTGAAGTAGACAATATTTTTTCTGTTATTTTAATGGGGTGAGAAAGGGGTCCACACTCCACACATCTGTCTAAAGCCAGGCCTCTCTCACATCTTCAACTTGCGTTCGTAACGTTTATATCTTCTCACTTTTCTTTTTCTTCTGTAACATTCACATCTTCCCATTTTTAAATCTTTCCATCATACCTTCAATAATTTTGAAAACAATACACTATTTCAATTACTTTTTTAGGATTTATCCTTCATTTCAGAACACTATTTCATTATCTTCTCACCATATCCTCAATAATTTACGTTCTCTTTCGATCACTATTCTTAATCTCACCTACTTTTAAACGGGAAGATATATATGTTACGGAGGTAGTGTTTAATTTGGAGTCCATTTTTTAACTCATTTTTTGACATCATTCATTTTTTTAATAAAACATTAAAATTTTAATTTCAAGCATTAGTAATACAAATAACTAGTATCGAGTTACTTTTTTAGCTGAATTTGTTCAAAAGATTACTCTAGCTTATTTTTAGTGTCTTCTTTTATTACTACGTATTTTATTATACTGAGTATGTTTTAATGTAGTTTAATTTTTCATTATTTAACTGTTTCAATTCAACTATGATATTAGATTGAACTGATTCAGCTAATTTAACATTACGTAGCGGGATCTTGATTTGTGTTCAGATAACACTTTATTGATAGATTGTAGGATTGAAACGCACAGTCGGAGAGAAATACAAAATCATGTGTGGAGTTCCATGGGACCGATTTTAGCTATTTTGGGTCTCATTGCAACCTCACTTTGAAGCTTTATATAACCTCATGTAATTATTACTCATAATATATAAATACATCATTGATTACATTAAATGTACGGAACATTGTATTCTGGGAGTATGGACAAACCAAGAATGTGTGAGAATAATGGAAGAGGATGCTCTATAAGGAGCCCTGAACGATATATTTATAATAAGAGAGTTTAATGTAAAGTACAATATTAATGGTCTAATAATTCTATTACACCCCCTCAAGTTGTACGGGAGAAAAAACGCGCATGTTGTCTTTCAAAAAATGAAAACGCTGAGTATGTAGACTCTTAGTAAAAATATCTGTCAACTGTAGATGTGTAGGAACATGCTAAACAATCACATCTCCATGGGCAACAGTGCAACACGTTCGCGAACAAAATGATAATCAATCTGGATATGCTTACTCCGAGCATGCTGGATAGGATTTGCAGTCAGACAGGAAGCCGAAATATTATCACATAATAGATGCACAGGCTCCGTGATGGGGTAATCGAGCTCAAAGAGAATAGATCTGATATGGAGTGTATCCTAAACTGTGTATGCAATAGCACAGTACTCTGCCTCTGTGGATGACTTTGAGACGGTGGGCTGCTTCTCGGACTTCCAAGAAATTAAATTAGGACCCAAAAAGACAGCAAAACCAGTAGAGTGGACCGTGAGCTATCAGGACATCCAGCCCAGTCTGCATCGGAATAGGCAACAACACATGTGGGTCGAGTAGAACGTTGTAGCCACAACCCATGATCACGTGTCCCCTGCATGTACCTGAAAATTCTTTTGACTGCAAGTAGATGAGTAGTACGGGGGGCATGCATGAATTGAGAAACTAAGTGTACTGCATAAGTAATATCTGACCTTGTCAAAATTAAATATTGTAAAGCACTTACCATGTTGCGATACTCAGTAGAGTCCGCAAGTAACTCACCATCAGAAAGAGACAGAGTAGTACGAGAAGCTAATGGTGTGCGAACGGGTTTAACCGTATGGAGATGAAAATGTGTTATAAGATCAGAGACATATTTGTGTTGAGAGAGAAACAGACCTTTAGGAGAACGAATTGCCTCTAGACCCAAGAAATAATGGAGATTACCCAGATCCTTCATGGCAAAATGATTAGAAATAACTGATATAAATCGGGTAATGGTGGACTCAGAATTGCCAGTAATAATAATATCATCCACATATAATAATAAATAAATGATAGAATTATTATGACGAAAAATAAATAATGAGTTATCAGATTTACTACATGTAAAATCATGCTGTAGTAAAAAACTATTAAACCTATGAAACCAAGCCCGTGGTGCTTGCTTAAGGCCATAAATAGCCTTGCGTAAACGACATATGTGATTAGGAAATTGAGGATGAATAAAACCACGTGGCTGACGCATATAGACTTCCTCTGTTAGGTGACCATGTAAAAAGGCATTTTTAACATCAAGTTGATGAATAACCCAACCAAAAGATACAGCTAATGTAAGAACAATACGAGCAGTGGTGGGTTTAATGACAGAACTAAAAATTTCAGAAAAATCAATATCAGCCTGTTGATTAAACCCTTGAGCAACTAATCTAGCTTTATGGCGCTCCACGGAACCATCAGAATGATATTTCGTTTTATAAATCCACTTACATCCAACAATATTCTTAGTATTGTTAAAGGGAACCAGATCCCAAGTATGATTATTAATGAGTGCATTAAATTCATCAGTCATTGCTTCTCGCCATTTTGAATGTTTATTAGCCTCAGTAAAACAGGTGGGTTCCGCAGGAATAACAACTGTACTTAAATTAAAAATGGTTTTAGGTTTAAAAATGCATGTCTTGGCACGGGTCTGCATGGGGGTGGTGATTAGAGATAGTTCTGGGCGCAATGGAATTGGGTGAAGGGGAGATGGGGTCGGGCTGAGAAGTGTCACGTTGGCCAGACGGAGTGGAAGCTGGAGAACTAGCGACAGACTCTAAATGGAGAGAGGCTGTGGATGACCGCCTGGACGATGGCGTGGAGCTGGGCGACCGAGAGGAGGAAGGGGACGGCGAGGAGCTGTGTATTGGGTTTGTCCTAGTGGCAGGTTCTAAAGAGGATGGAGGCCGGAGAGCTGTCGTTGGGCATGGCTGCAATGGAAATCGGGTGGGTGATTGGAGGTTGAGCCGTGGGTTCAGGCGAGTAACTGGTGAGGTGCCTGGGAAAGTTTGTTTGGGTCGGTGTAAGGGATGGTCTAGATTGCGGAAGGATTTTAAAGGGATAAGTATCTTCGTGGAACGTAACCTAACATGACGACTGACATAGACACGGCCGGTAGTAGGATCAAAACAACGATAGCCCTTATAGCCAGATGCATAGTCAAGAAAAATACATTGGACAGACCTAGGAGAAAGTTTGTTAGCCAAAGTGGCTGAAAAATTCGGATAACATGCGCAACCAAAAACACGCATAAATAAGTAGTCAGTGACACGGTGAAAAAGTTTTTGATATGGAGAAATTCCCATCAGTGTAGGAGACAGTAATCTATTGATGATATATGCAGCAGTGAAAATAACATCGACCCAATATTGACTAGGAACAGATGCCTCAAGAAGCATAGTCCTAGTTAATTCAAGAAGATGACGGTGCTTTCTTTGAGCAACCCCATTTCGTTGAGATGTGTCGGGACACGATTTTTAAAAATAAATGCCATGATCAGAAAAAATTGCTGCATAGTATGATTAACAAATTCACCGCCCCCATCACTTTGAAAATTTTTAATTTTCTGATTAAAAAGATTTTCAACCAAAGCTTTAACATTTTTAAAATGCACAAAAACTTCACTTTTGTGACACATGGGATAAATCCAAGTCAATCGAGAATAATCATCAATAAAACAGACATAATATTTAACCCCCAAATTAGAACGAACCGGAGATTGCCATACATCAGAATGAATAAGTTGTAAAGGAAGAGAAGAATTATGACAAGCATCCGTAAAGGGTAAACGTTGTGATTTTCCTAACCGGCAAACAACACACTCATGAGTAAAAGGAGTATGACTACATAAAAATTGTTTTTGTTTAAGAAACTGTAAAATATTATCACCACAATGACCTAATCTACGGTGCCACACAGGGCCAGACACTAAAACAGAGGCTAACACTACGGATGGAGACTCTGGCAAACGGAGAGGATAGAGTGGCCCACTACTGGTAGCTCGCAGAAGCACCGTCCCCGAGGCTTTGTCCTTAATCAAAAAAGATTTTTTATCAAAAATGACAAGACATTTATTATATGCGCAAAGCAGTTTAATAGAAATTAAATTATATTTTAACTAAGGCACATGATAAACAGATTTTAAGGTGAGAGAACGACCAGAAGATGGTAATGCAACATCACCAACATGACAGATGGGTAAATGGGCACCATTAGCAACACTAATAGAATTATAGCCAGTAAGGAGATTTATTAAGCAAAATACCTTCGGATGCAGTCATGTGTGCAGAAGCTCCAGAATCAGGATACCAATATAGTCGGATTAGATTCCCCATGAGTAGTCAACAGAGCAGAAGCAGAAGGCTGAGTAAAGCGTGAGGGACAAGTAACAGCGGAATGTCCTACAGAAAAGCAAATTTGACACATAACAGGATGGGGAACAGAACCAAGAATACCCTCATCTGATGGTAAGCCTGCAGAACTATAATTAGTAACACCAACATGTAATGCATTAATATTTAAATGTGACATGGCAGAATTACAAATGACAGTACCCGTAGTTGGTACACCCCCCGAATGTGGAGCATACCCAGCTGGAACGGAGGAACCACCCCCTGCCGCGGTGTAATCCGCCTGACTCTGCTGCGAGTACCAAAACACAGGCTGCACCTGTTGTCCTCGGCCTCTGCCCCGGCCACCGCGTCCCTTGTCGTGACCACATCCACGGCCGCGTTGCGGTTGACCTGAAGGGCGCTGCTGCTGTCCGCCCAGCGAATGCGGCCCCTGCATCTGTTGGCCCGACTGGTGGCTAGCGGACTGCCCGGGAAAAGAAGCAGTGGCACCGAAAGCCTGATGAATGGATGAAGTGCCCTGGGAGTGGAGATAAAGAACCCGTTGCTCTTGTTCAAGGAGATGATTGCGAAGTTTCTCAAGCGGGAAATTGTCAGGGAATAACGAGACAGTGGTGAACATAGATTCATACTCGACACCCAAACCCATAATAGT